AAGAGGGAGGAGAGTCGTTGCCTACAGCAGGGTCCGCAGGGGGCGAAGGGGCCTTCCGAATCGTGCCGTCGGCGTTCCTTGGCAGCTTACGCTTACCCTTTGGGCGACCCATGTGCCCGGAGCGCGTATGCGTCTATCGTTGCGTGCGTAAAGGGTGTGTGTGTGTGTGTCCTCTGGTGGTGTGTGTGTGGCGGGAAACAATTCCCCGAGGGCGTGTGAAACCACCCGAAATATCTCCGAAACCCGNCCCAAGAAACTAAGCAAAATACCCTCCAATATCCGGTTTTTTGCCCATAACTGCGTTATTTATTGTCAAATTGGAAATCGGAAAAAAATCATCGGTGGCAAATCACGAGAGCTGTCCAAATCCGGTCTCAGATTTTGTGTCGTCTGCAAAAAACACCGCCCTCCAGAAAGTAAGCAAGATTTCTTGAATATCTGAACATATCGAGCGAAGGACGAAAAAAACAAAAACTAATCTCCGTACGAAGATGCGCCTTAAAACGTCGATTTACGCGGTATTTTCAGATTTCGGAATAAGTACCCCCACCCCGAGAAAAGTGCACCTTTGTGCAGGGGAAAATATTGTGAATATTTGCCCGAACGGACCATAGGCATTTTCATTTTTTTTTTTCGTATTGATCTCCATCACACTCACGCGTGAAGGGTCCACCGCTGTGTCCACCACTTGCACCTCGTCGCTTGCTGCGGGCGGTGCCGGCGCATCCGGCTGGTGCTGCTGCTGCTGCTGCTGCTGCTGCTGCACGGCTGACGCAGCTGCTGCTGCTGCTGACGCAGCAGGCTGCCCCTGCATCATCAGCACCACTGCCGGGGTCTGCAGCAGACGGCGACCTGGCAGGGGAGACTACAAACCTGTCCATCGTTGTATGGTCTCCCGACCTCTGTGGCGTGTTTGGTAGCTAGTGTTTGACGTGTGGCGGTGTGTCTCTCAGAGGAGGTCTGAGTATATGGGTTTCCGCTGGTTCTTGAGGCGTAATACAGAGGAAATCTGCGAATATAAGAATGTACTGGAGTACTGGCTGCTGACGCAGCCAGTGAATATGCACCGCCAGTGCATATGCACTGGCAGTACGTACTGGTTCAGTACCCAACCCGATTTCATCAACCGGTGGGGAGACGGACGCAACATCCTGATCTACAAGGAGGGCCGCAGGCGGCAACCAGGTGGTTTCAAGCCTGTGCAGGTGCTAGCAACCGCGCTCGACCCTCGCACGAAGATCCTGTATGGAGTGGACGAGGACGAGAAGGCCGACGTTTGGAAGCTCGTGGAGGAAGAGGCGGTGAAGATCGCGGTAGAAACCCGCAATTCGGAGAACTCTCAGCGCGCCTCGTCGCAGCAAGGACCAGAAGCAGCGGCAGGACCGACATCATCGCCCACCAGTGCGGGTGCAGAAGAATCCTCGAGAAAGCGCCCGCGCCGTGGTGGTGGTGGGTTCATGGCGGCGGCGCAAGCGGTCGGAGGCGCACGAACCCCGCAGCTGGACGAAGGCGCTGATAGCTCCTTCGTGCGCCTCATCACGAGCTCGGTGCGGGTCGAGCTCACGGCCTTCAAGGTGTCCACAGGTATCAAGATGTACGAGGAAGATAAGGAAGGCGCAAAGGTCTACCTTGACCCCTTGGACTGGTGGCGGGTACGGTGCGCAGACTTCCCGCACTTGGCCAACCTCGCCCGCCGTGTGCTGGCGATCCCCGCCACTCAGGCAGAGTCCGAGCGTCTGTTTTCCTGCGCTGGAAACATCGTCACGAAGAATCGCAACAACTTGGCCCCGACCACCGTCGAGCTGCTCGTCCTTCTGCGCCACTCCTGGAAGATAGTCGAGGAATGGGAGCAATCGAACACCCCCGCGGCCGCGAAGAGGGGCTAGGGTAGTGACTGTCTTTGATGGGGAGGATTTTGTGTGCTAGCGGCAGTAATTTGTGCGCAGTGTAGGTTTCGGTTGGGTAGCTTTGGTGCTGTTCGTATCTGTAGCATTCTGCATTCTAGCAAGCTGGTGCTTCTTTTGTTGCGCACCTCCTGTCGTTTCCCGTTTCCTGGTTAGCTTTTTACTTTTTAGCTCTTAGCTGGTTTCTTGGTATACGTTCAGGGCTGCCGTGTCGTTGTGTCCTTCGTAGAGTCCAGTATACGATAGCGTCGCTCATCAACCCAACTGATGGATGCCACTTGGTTGCTTGGGAGTAATATTATAATGTTTCAATATTTCCTCATGTCCAAAACCAACAAATTCAGTCGTTGAACTCGAACTTTCTATCGTTTTCCCCGCGATAGTGCCTCTGTCAGATGGGCCAAAATCACTCATTTTTTTTGCTCTAGTGAAGCCAAATCGCGTACAAAAGCGCCTCCGGCGGGGCCCCCTCACCAGCCGGGGGGGGCCGATGGTCGCGGCTGCGCCGCGACCGCGCGGCTTCGCCGCGCCACCAGTGTACTGATCGGATCCAGTTTACTGGCTGCTGACGCAGCCAGTATACTTTTTACTGGCGCGCAGCGCCAGTACCCAACCCTACAAAATAGGGGATATTTTGACCGATATTAGGTGCAGAGATAGATGTTCGTTTTTTTATTTTATTTTTTCTATCGCTTCTTCTTTGTTATATCTTTCTTACAAACTCGACTATGCTACCATCATTAACACGGTTGCACCCAGACAATCTATTGCATTTAGGTACCCTAACTTATGATACAGAGGAAGTATGTACATAGCTGCGAGTCACAAAAGGGCGTCCTCGTGCGCCTCTGGAGCACTCGACGGTGAAATAAGAACAAGAACCCCGTTTTCAGCGACCAAATGTCAAACCGGAATAAGAACATGGCCATAAGAACATGTGCTGGGGTTGACGCAGTCAATAAGCGTCGAGCCTCACGCCAACTTTGACGTTCTCAAGTGCGGGCGCCATCTGTATTGGTCGGATTTTCGGATGCTTCCCAAACCCTTGGCGACATGTAGGCTACAGTCTGCATCGACACACCGATCTACACGACTACAAGACCCCAGGACTTTGATCACGGCGACGAGGAAAGAGCTGTGCTGAGATCGGCGGTCCGCAGGCACTCACATTCCTAACCCTCGTGACTTCATTTTGAACTTCACATCCCGGTGTATACTTTGTGCCCTCGAAGCTTTCGAGCACGATGGCCACCGCAGTTATAGCATCGGAGATATTGCTTTGGTACATAGACTATAGCTCACCGAACGAAATAGTGCCGTAGGCAAATTGCATGAGAGGAGAAAGGGCTGGTCCCGAAAATCGCGAACCACCGCAACTCTGCAGATACATACATCCCGAACGGCTCCATCCTATCGTCGGATCTACCTCATCATCTGTTCTACAAAGAGTACGATACCCTCAACATTTCAATCATGAACTTCATACGTAGCAGGGTACAGTAGTATCTCTGGCACCAGGTACATCGTACATCAAATGGATCGAGCCAACTCTGGATCGAAAGCACGGCCAAGCATTCTGGACGTGCGTGCTGCGCTTGTGGCGACCATCTCTCATTACTAGCGGCTCTTCATCTGGCTCTCACTCTCCCACCAGCGCAAAGACTATTACCACTCCGGTTGCTTTGGTAAATCCAAACGTCGGATCTACCGCATCATCTGTTCTGCTTGTGAAGTGTTACGACGCTCCCAACCACAACATTGCAACCGGGTATGCACAAGAATATGTACAGCAGCATAGATGGGACTTCGAACAATCTGAAATCTCTGGCACCAGGTACATGCAAATATCAAATGGTCGTGCCAAATCTGGATCGAAAGCACGGCCCAGCGTACGTGCTGCGCTTTGTCGCGACCATCAACCAAGCCTCGTGTCTGTTCCTCTGCTGCGGTATTTCGCCCACCAGAGCACAATATACACAGCACCCGACCGTCAGGTTGCTTTGCAAATGGAATCTGCGCCAACTGTACGGCTGCGGGTGATATTTTTTTATGGAACATTATTTTTTTATGGAACACTATTATACCCAAAAAACGACGGGAAGAACACACGCACTCTGGCACGCTTCCTGCTGGGGTAGACTAGATGTATCCACCTACCTGGACACCTCCAGGACCCATGCGCCTACAACGGAGTTATATTCCGGCAGCAGGCCGTTGGGCCCTCCCGCCCCACCGCCACGGCTATCTGCGTAGCTCATGTAGAATATCTCCCTCAACGCTCCAAAGACGCTCGCTTCGGCTCCAGGATCTACTGCTGTAGGCCCCAGGCGATCTCCTCGCTCTCGTACTTCCTACTTGTTGCCTTGAGTCAGGGGCCCGGGATCACGAGTGGCGAGCAGGTTTACCGAACCACTTACACAAGCTGCTTGTCGCAGCGGAGCAGTTACAGTAGTTCGTGCGACGTGGCGATACGTACTCTGATGTTGAAGTGTCTGCTGGTTGCACGAAAAGATACACCAGTAGCCCGTCGCAAGGCAGTGGCTCCTCGGAATGGGTGACCAACCAGCATCTACACGCACTATCTACTCAGTATCTCAGGATTTCAAACTTGGAGCAGGTTGAAGTTCCGTGCAATAAAGTAAGGTCAGCTGCAACCAATAACAAGCCGTTGGCTGCTTGCTGGTCAGCTGGCAAGATCCATGCATGCTGCCTCTCACTCACCTGGCTGTTGTTACGCTGGGCACCGCCACTAGCTGGGGCCCTGCCTGCTGCTTGCTGTGGTGGTGGTGGTACTGATCAACACCTGATCGCTTGGGCCGCTTGTGTGGTCTCTGCGTGACCAGCCGCAGGATCTCGTATCTGCGTGCGAATATCACCCGTTGCACACGCTTTAGCAAATAAGCACACCGGAAGGCAGCAAAGTACGAAGGCTTCGTTCGGCGCTTGGAATAACCGATGGATGGTACAAGGAGTCCTTTCGCCGATTGACCGCGACTGCCTGCCTGTCCCTCTCGCTCTGTCTCCTTCCTTCCCTCGCCTTTCTTTCTTTTTTTTTATTTTCTCCATCATATCACCCAACAAATCCATCTCTATCTATAGGAAAAAAAACTAGGGCCAAAAACTACTAGAGGTCTTTCCGCGTTTTCTTCGAGAAACACGAAAAAACAACAAAAAAACGTTTTTTCCACACTGGTTCTCCGAGTTCTCCGGTCTCCGCCCGCCCCCCCCCCCC